CTGTGCTTCAAAAAATTGTCAGACCTTTGCAGCTCAACAGAGGTCTTGTGGTAGACAAAGTTTCGATCTCTGTGCAGTAATGAACAAACTCTTCATTTCCTTGGAGAAAAACCGTAAAATTGCTTTTTTACAAAAATCGCTGCTCTTTTCATCCCCAGGGCCGCTCAGTACCACACATGCAATTTCTGTGCTCCTTGTACGTGTCCTTACAATATGAAAAAAACGTTTTGAAAGTCCACACGTCCTGAGCGGGCCAACTCATATACTAAGCCACCTCCATAAAAACTTACTAGGGTTTCGCTAGTTCCGCTGCAAGGAATATAAACATCCTGAAAAAAATCGCTGGATCGCTGATCTTTTAGTGTCGAAAACCTTAAGGGGCGTCACACTAATGGACGGGCGTCTGAATTTTTTAGTAGGATTTCACCCGATTTGTCGTCAAATCTCCAGATCCACACGTGTAGAGTCTCTTCAGCGAGAAGGCCGAAAACAAATCAACCCAAGAACACAGCCCAAGCTACCTTGAAGGGTCAATGGTTCAGCGAGCCGTGACCTCATCCCGCGCCTTAGGATGCGGCAACTGCTGTATAGACCGTATGTATGAAAGTAGTTGTAGATCAATTCAGCTCCACAACTACTTTCATCAAAATAAATTTAGGCCGAGTTTACAGGTCTAATTCAAAAAAAAAACTCACAATATATTGCGGATTGTCAATCCAACAAATGGAGGTGGAAAGCTGTTTTTGTTCCATGAACAACGTCGAACTGACCGCTAACGCCATAAGCCATATCATTACCAGGTACGGGCATGTTGACGTGGAGACGCTGTGCCGTTGATATTCAGTCGGGAACATAATGGCAAAATATCTAAATATCAGATCCCTTCGGCAGATGCCCTTTTGGAGTCATTAAGAAAGAGTAGAAATCGTCGCACTTGGTTTCATTCGAGTAAAGGGTTCAATGCGGCACACCGATTTGAATACGGTAGGCGCGAAATGTACCTAAGTAGGGATTGATGCCCACCAGTCGAATAACGGTCGAGGAATCCTCGACCATGGCTCTCTACTGTGCGAGAGTAGTGTCGAGAGTGAATGTACGCGCGGAGAGCACAGACGGCTCGCGGGTGGCGAGAGTGAATATCCGCGCGGGAGAGCGTGAATGAACAGGCGAAAATCCTCGACGAGCCGTTGAGATTCCTCGACCGATTTTCACTCTGGTGCGCACTGCTATGAAGTGAAGAGATACTATGGAAGTGAGTCAGACATTCCAACTCTCTTACGCATGTCAAATGACTGTCCGCACCCCCACCCCAACCCCTCCCCTCCACCCCCTATTTGGCTACACTTCCCATGGCTCACGAATTCCTTCGGTTCTAGTGACACCAAAGCGGCGAGCAGCCTCCCCGTACATACATTTTGCGCCTACCGTACTCGGAAAATTGGCCTGCCCATCCCAGTTGCACTGAGTTCAGAAAAGCTTACCGATCTAAGCTGATCGCCACTAGATGTACAATACTGGCAGTGGTGGAAAAAACGCCCGAAACGAGATGGAACTGACACCATGTGTAGCCCAACGTCCATTCGTCGTTGTGGATCTGCAAAAGAAGTTCTTCAAGTTCTATTGGCACCACAATAACTCACCAATAACTCTTGCCAACTCTAGGCTTGGATTGCTGAATGAATATGCGTTAGTTACCTTGTAATAGAGCGACAACGGCATGACGACCAATCCGACCAGTAGATCGCTGACGGCTAAGCTGGCAATGAATTTGTTCGTCGTCACGGTCTTTAGCTTCCGATCAATGAGCACGGCCAGGATGACTACACCGTTTCCGAACACCACCAAAACGATAAGCAGCAGTAGCGCCACGTCGCTAACTCCCCAATAGACATCGACCTGAAAGATGATGAACTACTTGAAGGCATATACCGCAATGAGTACAGGTGGATCAAGTCCTTTGGTGGGAAGGGTAGAGCTGTCCACGAAGGTCAAAGAAGTACCATCTGTCACCTTGTGAGCGCGCAACAAGGGCGCTAGGGCCCAGGCTATACCGCTTGGACAGCTTTTATTCATTTTTCCCTCCCAGCCGTTGCGCCATATTGACCATCGTCTGTCCTTCCTGCTCATTATCTCATTGCCTTTACACAAAAATGAGGAAGCTCTCACTTTTTATGTTGTCGAGGGATTCCTTTCCTTTTTTGCTACCCGTCCGTTTCATACCCATGATATCATTTTCGTTTGCGAGTTTGATCCCGGGGATTAGAGGTGGAGTTCACAAGACAGAAAGATGTGGCCATTGGGCTTCGAGTGCAACACTAAAAGTGCTATTCAACGCATCGGCAAAAGCATGACGCGTATGCGCGTCAACCTTGCGGACTGCATGTTACATTCTAAACATCCAGGAATTGATCATTGATTTTTTTTGCGCATGCACCCTTCTTTGTATTTATTCTATTGACATACTTCTCGAATCATACTATTATATAAACCAGAGTTTGTTTGTCTGACCGCTCCCCAAAAATTCGCAAGTGTCCCCCACATGTTTATAATTCTTCCTTCAAAAATCACCTAGGGAGGGCGGGTCAAGTTTGGAATGGGTAGAGTATGAGTCGCTCTTTAAGGGAATATATTGGCCATGCTGAACTCCGCCTCCAGTGGGCGGGGCGTGCGTCGAAATTAAAAATTTGGTGAAAAAATTGCAGTTTTTGGCTTCAGAACAGTCTAAAGACAGGGAAAAAATAAGGCCTTAATAGGGTACTTACCGCTCTACAACGGGAATATATTGGCCATGCTAAACTCCACCCCAAGTGGGCGGGGCGTGCGTCAAAAATCGAAATTTCGTTGAAAAAATTGCAGTTTTTGGCTTCGGAACAGTCTAAAGACAGGAAAAATAAGGCCTTAATAGGGTACTTACCGCTCTACAACTGAATATATTGGCCATAAGAAACTCCGCCTCCTGTGGGCGGGGCGTGCGCTTGAAGTAAAAATTTTCGTGAAAAAATAGGCGTTTTTCGTCCAAAAACATCCAAGAAAGAGGGATCGTGCGGAAGTGAATTGTTGGAGGAGTGCTTGAACTAGAAACTCTGAGACGAGGAAGCGAGGAAGCATAGACATCAAAGAAACGCAGGAACCATTGCGGCATCAATTATGAGCTTTTTGCGGATGATTGAGGGTTTTTCGCGATAGAAGCGCCTGTCGAGCACCAAGGAGCCGTGAAAATCATACATCCTGGAAGACTGCATGCAGAACGGTCATCTCATAAGCGTAAGTGCGATTACAGCATGAGATTGCGCCGTTTCGGCTTTGAGGGAGACATTCAAAACAGGACCCCTTGAAAACCGCGATGAGACGATGACCCTGGGACCAACCCAAAAAATCCAAAATGGTTCCCTTTTGGTAGTTATGAGACAAGTAAGCATTTTTTTTCTTATTACCTTGATTCGCGTTCATTTGTCTTCTTTTTCGTTATCAGCTCAGTTTCTATTTTCCCTCTAAAGCGTAAATTCTAAACTACAGTATGATCGACATAGTGCCGCTTCTCCTATTGGATCTTCATTAAGTCGTGCTCTGTCGCTTATTCAAATTTATATATACCGGAACGGAACGCATCTCTGTTCATATTTTAAAACCAAAATGAGGGATTAGGGACACAGTAAGTCGTTGTGTCGCAAGACGCCAGTCCCTTGATATCGATGCCCATTATAATATGACCTTTCCGCTTTCAAAAATCAGCGTTTTCTTTCGTTTTTTTCTCCAAAAATCAAGGCAGGGCATTAACGATTACAAATTATTCGGCCCTCAATAACGTGCCTACATAGATACACTCTGTTTCATGCAGCCAGAATTCCACGTGGCACACGTCGTATAACTTCGTATGGAAGGGACATTCACGTATGCTGCCAGAGATGTTTCCTGAATCGATTCCCACTTAATAAAACGTCAACTTTATGCATTTCACAAATATTCTGGCTCCATTTGAAGGCGGTACATTGTATTGGTTCAGTACGACACTCCAAATCAGGAAGAACATTCCCCCCCACCCCACTGTTAGGTAGAAAAGTGCATTTATTTTTCGGTAAAAAACCTGGACGCTATACAAATAGAAACACAGTACTACATACAGCTGTACTATTGACTACTGAATTGCGTATCATTGCCTTTGCACTGTATTATTTGAAATATATTATTTACTATATATTCGTTACGGATCGCTTCTCAGTAAGAGAAAGATAAACCTGATGGACAACAACACGTGGTCAAATCGATTTTTAGATGTTATATCATAAGTTATTATGTTACTCATAAGTCCTGAGTCGCATATTATCTATCTTTGTTGTTTGTTCAAGTTTATCTCTTTCGTCATGAAAGCAACTGTAATCGGTTCAGATACCGGGGCCGTCAAGGTGTATTGATCGCACATGGCATTTTCTAGAGACCTTCGATAGCTTCCTCCTAGAAATGAAGGAAGCTGGGGGTTGAAAAGTTGGAGAAGTCGTTTTTGGGGTTGTCGTATTCCTTGAATTTTTTCTCTCGCATATGCTGGTTAAGGACGCAGGGGAAGGCGATGGTCCGATAAAGCGATGCCAGCGCTATAAGGTGGGTGAGTACTCGTGGCCTGGCCACCTCCCTCAAGAACGTGCGAGTTGACATTTCACGTGATCTTGGGTCTCATTTGGATAAAGGGAATTCCGAGAACGTTCTATGAACGGTTCCCCTCAATACCCGAAGCGCCTGGAGACTCACTTAGGCAATGCTTGTCTTCAATGCAGTGAAGTCGTTTCCAACCAGGCCCACCCCTCGAAAGACAAATAATAAGATATATTCTAAAGAAATACAAGTGGCGGACTTCCGTTATTCTGGTGCTTTTGTCTTGCGACCCCCAGTAAAGTGCCATGGCGAGCCGTGTTGTTTTCACAGTTACTCAGATCATGGGGGCTCCGCCGGTGACCGATAGGTTAGGCTCTGCTTTGTTCCGCGCAGCCAATGAATTTTCCCCATGTGTCCAGGCTCGTGCTTCTCGCTCGATAGTCGGCCGACCATAAGGCTGTTCGCATCAACAAACTCCACACTGCCATACTGAACGCGCGGCTGGTGCATCGCTCGCTCAGTGTACATTCTACAATTCCTTTAGTCAACGTACGGAAGCCTCCCAATAAGGTCACGGGCCCATCAAAATGACTGCAGCACACTAAGTGAATATCATCTTTTTCTCTTTGACCGTTCCGTTGGACCACCAGCTCAGTACCCTATCATACAGGTTTGGTCCAAACACAGCGCTTGGCCCTCTCTTTGATTCCTTGCTACAAGAGCTCATTGTAAGATGCGTAACTGACAGTCCATTCATTATGTCAACTAGACTATATCTTTATCTATATTGATAATCTATTACGGATTGCTTTCCGAAACCACGCTGTTAAGGCACTTGAAGCATACTTCAACATACTAACGTATTTCGCAATGAAACGGTCTTAGACGGAAGAAATTTGAAATTGAATAGAAATGAGACAGGAATTATGAGACAACCCAATACTTTTCTGTGTACTGATAATTTAATGGCACTGGCTCACGGCTTTTACTCGCAGTGTAGTGCCCTTCATGACAATGTCTTAGCTATTCAGTTGCCGATTTTATACTAGAGGAGGGAAATATCAAAATACGAAACTTTCCTCAAATTAAGTGGTAGATATTGGTACGAGGAACCTGCGCCACACAATAAACATGACCTGGCAATGGTAGGGTTCTCCGGAGCTTTCTGGCAGTCTATGGACTATCATCTCTTTCGCAGTTTTCTTTTATGTTTTGCTTCAATATTCTCTCTCCTACTCTGATTAGCTCTGCACAAATGTTCATTTTCAAGCACTTCCTTTTGTATTTGTTGAGCGCGCTCTTAAGGCGCCAGATAAATAAAATCTTAGAAAACTATTTACTCCCCCTCCTACAAAACTAGGCGGGATTTTTATTGAAGTTTTCCATGACTACGAATTTCGCTAGGAAGTTGCCTCCGGTGGTAGTTCTACCCGTAAAACACGAATATCACATTCGCTTGACATGAAAACGCCTGGCGCGTGCGGCACAAGTGCGGGCGCCAAAAGGCGCCAGACACCTTGGATCACCAAATTCGCTGGAAATTGTCCTCAGAGGTATTTTGACCCGTAGAATATGATTATCACATCAGTTTGTTACGAGTGAACCTGTAGCCTGCGCTACGAGCGCCCGCGCAAAACTGTTGTGATAGCGCCTGTGGTGCGGGCGCCAAGCGTTTTTGCACCAGACTGATGTGGTATTCGTGTTCTGGGTTGAAATACCCCTAGAAACAACTTTTTAGCTCATGGACATTTGTCGATTAAAACCCGGCTCATTTTTCAAAGAGTGGAGCTGCAAAGGGTATATAGTGCCAAAATCTTCGGATTTTATGGCACTTGTAGAACTACACTACATAGAACCCAGCGGCGAAAAAACCGTCCCGTTATTCCGCAAATTATTGCTCTGCTCCCACTAAACAACTCAATATTTCCCACCAAACTCCTAGATCGCGATATCTAGATTACTCGAATTGCATGGCATAGCCATTACCCGCGAGTAATGAACGCCACGCCAACGGTTTGATTAAACGGATGGAAATCCCCTGAGACAAAATCGATCTTGTTTAAAAACGCCTCTCAGGAGGCAGTTGATGTCTCTTGATAGAAATACGTTTTGAACAATTACTTCACAGAACACTGATTGCTGGACCAAGAACAAAGGCATTGTTCCAAGAAAAGCGTCCAGATTTGGCCTTTGAGGATCTATTGAAGCTCTCGGGAAAGTGGGAGGAACAGCTTCGTTGAAAAATGTTGCAGCTGCTTTGGGAAGAGTAAGAAGCGCGCTTCAAAACATTATGCAAACTTGTTCTAGTT